CATTTGAAAGGATGCTCGGCATCACTAGCCATCAGAGAAATGCAGATCAAAACCACCATGAGGTACCACCTCACACCGGTCAGAATGGCCATCATAAACAGATCAACAAACAACAGGTGCTGGTGAGTCTGTGGAGAAAAGGGAACCCTAGTCCACTGTTGGTGGGAATGCAGACTGGTGCAGCTATTGTTGAAAGCAGTGTGAAATTTCCTCAAAAAGCTGAAAATGGAACTGCCTTTTGATTCAGCGATTCCCCTGCTGGGACTATACCCTAAGAATCCCAAAACACCAATTCAAAAGAACCTATGCACCCCAATGTTCATAGCAGCACAGTTTACAATAGCCAAGTGTTGGAAGCAGCCTAAATGCCCATCAGTAGATGACTGGATCAAAAAATTATGGTACATTTACACAATGGAATACAACGCAGCAGAAAGAAAAAAAGAACTACTAAACTTTGCGACAGCATGGATGGAACTCGAGAGCTTTATGCGAAATGAAATAAGCCAAGAGGCGAAGGACAAGTACCATATGATCTCACCTATAAGTGGAACCTAACCAACAATAGAAAGATGCAAGGAAAATAAGACCAGCAACACTGAAAGGAAAAGAAACCAACAGAGACAAGAGGGAAGGAGGGAGGGGGGGGCGGGGGGAAAAGGAAGGGAAGGGGAAAGTCAAGGAACATATAGCAAGGACTCATGGACAAAACCAAAGGGGAAGAGTTGAGGGAGGGAGGGGGCAAGGGAAAGTGGTGGGGGGTAGGTAGAGACAAATGTATTTGAAAAAATTAATTAATTAAAAAAAGAAAGGGTAGGTTTTGTTTTGTGAAACCTTGTTTTAAATAAATATGTATGCCTATTTAAATGTATATATCTGTTCAAATATACATATGTATTTGTATGATATGTATGGTTCATGATGTAAAATGTGTTGCTTCCTGTGGCCCTTGTTATAAAGTTGAAAGACACTGTCCCAGATTTTTAGAAAGATGAGAGCCCAGCCTAATGCAGTAAATTCTAGTTCCGGGACAAAAGAACTTGTCTTTCTCTATATACATACGGGTAGTTGTTGAATATAAAAATAGAACATTTTATAAGGGATTAACCTACTTTCTGAGGCTATGAAACAACTCTAGTTGATTACGTGTTACCACCTGTAACCTGTAGTTGCTGCAGAAAGACTTACTCATTTTATTCTGATGATTTTTTTTTTTTCTGTGCCGTCCCCTGCACTAGTAGTCTGTTGAAGTCCCTGGACCCCTTCTCAGGAAAATATTAAAGGCATATAATAACAATAAATTAGATATAATTAACAGGAAACCAATGACATTGAAACAGTTATCAAAATATTGCCAAATCATATCCTATATAATAATATATGTGCTTATGTTAAATACAGTAGTCTCTCCTTATCATAATGTGGTTTTGCTTTCCACTATTTCAGTTACCTGCAGTGAACTGTGGTTCAAAAATATTAAATGGGAAATTCCAGAAATAAACAACCCATATGTTTTAAATTGAGTCCTGTTCTGAGTAGTGTGATGAAACCCTGTGCCATACCTCCCTCTCCCACCCAGGATGTGAATCGTCCCTTGTCCAGCATCTCCACGATCTGTATGCTCCCCGGCCATTAGTCATTTAGAATCTGCCTGGGTTATCAGATCCATTGTCTTGGTATCACAGTGCTTGTGTTCAAGTAACCATTAGTTTACTTAGTAATGGTCCCAAAGCACAAAAGTAGTAATGCAGGCAATTTGGATCCACCAAAGGGAAGCCATAAAGTGCTTCCTCTAATTGAAAAGATGAAAGTTAGTACTATCTGTGGTTTCAACCATCCACTGGGAGGTCTTGGTACATATCCCCCTGTGGATAAGGGAGGCCTACTGTAGCAAACTCTAGCAGTGGGTCTAATGAAGCACAGGTTATATTAGTTTTTTCTTTCTGCCATAATGAATTATCACAAATGCAGAGACTTAAAACAGTACTTCTTAATCTCAACAGTTCTATAGGTGAGAAGACTGGGCAGGATTGGTTATTTTCTCTGCTCTGGGTCTCACAGGCTAAAATAAAGGCATTGGTTTGCCTGGGCCCCCTTATCTGAAGGCTCTTGGGGAGAATTGCTTCCATTGTTATTCAGGTTGTTGGCAGAATTCAATTCTGTGAACCTGTAGCACTGAGGACCCTATTTCTTTGCTGGTCTTTGCATAGGAGTTGTTCTAGAAGCCACCCACATTCCTTGGCTATGGCCCTCTCTATCTGTGAAGCCGTGGTGCTGTGAGTCTCTCTTGTGCATTTAATCATTCTGACTTCTGCTTTTAAGGGCTCATGTGATGACAAATAAGTATAATAATCTTTGTATTTTTAAGGTCAACTGATTAAGCACTTTAATTACATCTGCAAAGTCCCTTTTGCTGTGCAACAAGCATATTCATGAGTGTAAATAACACCAAGGGACAAAGGTCATAGGGACTGAAATGTTGCCTAATTAGCTTTAATTAAAATACAGATGTGGCTGGGCCTACCCAAGAGTTTCTGATGCAGTAGGTTTGGGGTGTGGCCCAAGAATTTGCATGTCTAAGCTTCCAGGTGTTGCTGCTGGTCCAGGAGCCTCGCTTTGAGAACACTGAAGGCAGGTGGGTACTAGGTTGGGTCAGAATGTTCTACATCTGGTCTACTTGAGTGTCTTGCTGGGGCCCTCTACAGCCTTATTCAGGAGGTGTTCATGGCTGGCTTTTTGCTGATTTTAAAAAGATTTTAGTGGCTTCATGAAGTAGTAAATAAACTGAGTGCTCTAAGACAGATTTGGTGACTCAGTAAGGAGAGCCCCATGTAGCCTGAGGGCTTCAATTTTGTAGGGCTGTGGCAGCTGGTTCTACCTATAGTTAGGGCATATGATACTTCCAAAACCCTCCAGAGCAGTGGCCTCACAGTGAGGTCTCTGAACCAGCAGCATCAGCATCACATGGGAATGTGACAGAACTGCAAATTCATGGACCCATCCCAGACCTCCTGAATCTGGGGCTCTGTTCTAGGGCCCAGCAAGCTCTGTTCCAACAGACCCTCCAGGTGTTTCCACAAGCTCAAGGTTGAGAACATTAGTCCACAGGATGAGAGACACAGGACCCATCCCTTTGGGGATGGAAGAGAAAAGGCAGGTATCTCTGGTTGCTTGAATTTCATTGACTGAGAATTTCTGCGAGAGGAAAGTGAAAAATGTTGTGTTACTTAGAAAGTGTGAACCTCCCAACTATCATGGTATATTCTCATTGAAGTCTCTCAGCAACACCTAGTGGTCATCTTGGGTAAGACTGTGTAATCAGTAAAGGATACTTGATTTCATTCCTTTTTAAAAAAGACCTTTGGACCCAAAGGAGTCTGGGGCGCTAAGAGGACTGAAGCAGGAGGTCACTCTGCCAGATGGGGCTCACTATGAGGTGCTTTCCTGGGTCCCTGTCTTACCTCTGTTGTGCAAAGGCAAGCCTCACAGCTGTGCTTGAACACTAAATCTTTCATTTGACCTTTACTGCCAAGCTTAGGATGAAGTTCAAGTTGCCGCTTGGCCCATGTCATCCACCTGCCTCTCTCCAGTATTCACTTGGCTGCTCTTCTCCAAGAAGCCCTGGACTAGCTGTGGGCTGCTGTCTCTTCTCCTCTGCCTCTCTGACTCCTCCTGCAGTTCCTGGCACCTGCCCCTTTGCTCATCATGTCTCCTCTTTCTAGAAATCCCTTTTCCTCTTTAGCACCCAGGACCGGTTCCACCACCTTCTAGAAGATTTCTCTGAATTCTTCAGCACCACAGGGCCTCTCTGTGTGCTCCACAATGCCTTGCACATGTCTCTGTGCCTCAGCTGCCTCCCCCCTGGACTGTGGGCTCCTACAAGGCAGATCCATGTCTCATTTTCCAACAAACAGGCTGGTGCTGGACAGCATCCTACACCTGTGCTGAGGTCACTTACATCAGAGGCATTGCCTTAGCCCCCTTGGAGCTAATGACAGTGGGATTCCTACTATTTTTCCTAAACACCCCTCCTTCTGATGAATAGTTTAAATGATTGAGCTATAAAGACCACATTGATGTGGACATAAGTCCAGCTTTATAAACCTGGTCAGCACTTCACTGGGCTGTGGAATTTTTGTTTACTTAGGCAGAACTATGCAGAACACCACTGCCGGTCACAGGTTGGAAGTTGTCTGCAGAGTCTCCTTCCCCAGGGCAGGTGATCCTCCTACCGAATGCATCACAGCACAGCCGCCAACCAAGCACCAACTCATGAGATATAAGAAAGACCATGCTTGCCCTGATGGTCTAAAGATTATAGATGACATTTTCCTAGTTTCTAATTTCCCAATTTGTGACAACCTTTGCTATCCTATTTATGGTTTAAAAGTTTGCTAAGTGAACACACTTAGGGAGGGGCCTGAGGGGGATCTCACTGAGTCCTGTGTCTTCTGTGAGAGCAGGCCAGTAGTGCTTGCCTGTTGATCTGTGGGAATGGGGAGTTTTCCCTGGGCATTGGAGAGTGTGTATGTGTGTTTGTGTGTGTGTGCATGTGTATATGAGGGGGAGAGAGAGAGAGAGAGAAAGAGAGAGAGAGAGAGAGAGAGAGAGAGAGAGAGAGAAAATGCACACTGCTTGCCTACAGCTAGGAGGAGGCCTAGGCAGTAGGGTCTGTGGTTTCTGGAGGTGCCTCAGCCTGTACAGGTGGTCTGAATCCTGCTGTGGTATCTATGGGCAAGTCACTGCCTGTGTACCTCAGTTTCCTCATGTGTACAGTGGAAATAACAACTGCCTTTGGGTGCTGATGCAGGTGTAAGGAGAGGGAGCTCAGTTTCACATTCCTCTTTGGCTTAATGATTCCAAAGTGAATCCATTGCTGATGAGAAATAAGCAAACAAAACAAATAAAACTTGACATGCTGAGTCCATGTTTTCCCTGTCAAATCTGGGTCTTCAGGGAGAGGATGTGATGGGTTTTCTTAAAGTTGTCTTTGCCTGCAGACAGCAACCCTGGAACAAGCTATTAAAGATGTTTACGCGTGTTATGAAGATGAGATTCAGCTGTATAACGAACAGATAGAAACCCTGCAGAAGGAGATTGAACAGACTGAGGAGAGCCTGGAGAAGTCTTCCTATGACTGCCGGCAGCTGGTGGTTGCCCAGCAAACCCTGAAGAATGAGCTGGACCGGTTTCATCGGATCATTGAGAATGAAGGCAACAGGTGTGGTCCCAGAGGGGCGTATCTGAGAGGGTGCTTCTTTCTCCATGCCTCTCACCAATGCCACAAATTCTTGTTGAGTGCCTCCTGTGTGCCAGTTCTAGGCAGTGGGGCTGTGGTGTGGAGTGAAACACAGAAATCCACAACCTCATGGAGCTTGAATACTGGAGGGGGAGAGCAACAGATGATGAATGAATTTGTAACAGGGAGTATGACCTATGATAAGTGCTATGAAGGAGATTATAGCAGGGAAGAGAGAGTGGAGATGGGTGATTGTGGGAATTTTTGAAATTTTGAGTTGGGCAGTCAGAACAGGCCTCATGGAGAAGGCTACTTTTTGCTTGACAGAACTCTGGGGACATAACTGTCTTTGTAGACAGGGTGATCAGGAGTATTTAAAGAGATGTTGCAGGTGAGGTTCCTAGCACAGTGTCTGGTACTCCACAAGTGCTCTGAGGTGTTGGTGTTACTACTGCTACTGCCAGCATGATTTTTACCACCTGTTTGGGTCTCTAAAGTGGCCATCAATATGCTATCTGCTCTTGTTCATAACGGAGCTGTGACTTGAACTCCGCTCATTTGAAGCTGAGAAATAAATATCTGTCTATCTCATTCTCCATCTCTATCTGTACATCATCTACATCTATAGCTTTATCTATACCTACATCTTCTACTCTACATCATCTATGTATACATTTACATCTGTATCTACACTGTGCACATGTATGTGTATACACTTACTTCTACATTTTCTATATCATCTACATCTATGTTTGTATCATCCATACTTACACCTTTTGATATATCATCTATATCTATATGTATACCTACACTTAAACTTACATCTACATGATCTACATCTATATCATCTATACTTATACCTACATCTATATGATCTACATCTATGGCTACATGCTACATTATCTACATCTGTATCATCTAGATCATCTATAGTCACATCCTCTAAGTCTATACCTACACCTACACCTGTATCTGCATTATCTACATGTACCTCTATACCTATAACTACATTACTTACATCTACATCTATATTATTTACACCTACATCATCTACATCTATATCATCTCTACTCACACCTAATATATATCTACATTATCTAGACTATACCTACATCATCTTTATTTACATCTTCATGTACATGTACCTCTATACCTATATCATGTACATATACATCTGTAACAACAGCCACATTATTTGTATTTACACATCTATGGCTGTGGAGATATTAATATCCTTATTTATATCTGTAATTATCATCAGAAGATTGGGGAATGCCACTTCATATAAGATCTCTGATTCTTTATTAAATTGTCCTTCTTTGATTCATTCTTGTTTATATTTTAGGTTTAGATTGAATTAAAATAGAAGCACCCAGAAGTACCCCACAAGGAACAGTTCTTTCTTTTTTCTGGGTGCTCTGTCTTGGCTGCAAATACTTGAATATTTAACAGGAAAAGCAAGATTTCTTTTTCTTTCATTAGATCAATGCATACTGCAAAATTCCAAATTATATTTTTGTTTCAGTGAATGCTTTTATGTACACATTTATGAGAATAAGTCTTGAACAGGTGTTTAAATGTCCTTGTGAAATTTTTGTTTTGGAGGCAGGGCTTCACAGTAAAGTAACCAGATACCATTTTGTTGCTTTATGTATAACTTCTAATTTTAATGTAGTGATTTCAGATTGACAGAAATGTTTCAAGAGTAAAACAAGGAACTCCTAAGTGCTCTTTACTCAGATTCACCAGTTGTTTACATTTTGTCTCAGTTGCTTTATCTTTTTTCTTTTTATTTATATATAATGCATATTATTTTTAAAAAACAAATTGGAGATATCATACCCTGGTTACTCTAAATGCCTGGGATGGCCTGGGATAGCCACTGTTTTATTAAAAAAACAAAAACATTAACAACAACAGCAAAAATAAGAAACAAAAAACCCCCCACCATGTTCAACATAGAAGTGGCATTTGAGTTTATAAGCAAACCTTACTTTATAATTTTTTGTGTGTTTCACAGTTTATGACTTGAGCTCAAAGAAATGATTAGTTCCTTTGCATCCTCATCCAGTGTGCAAATGTGTATGTGGTTCATGAGAAGTTTGGTCTAGAGAGAGCTTTTCTCCTTTTTGCCTATAATTAGAGGACCACTGTTAACCCCTGACCATCTGTTGGCTTAAGGAATTAAAGATGACGACTACCTCTTTCTGGTTCTTTCTGCCAGGCTGAGCGCCATCTTCATGGAAACACCTGTCACTCTGTTCACAGACTGTGGAATCTCTCTGGGCCCTCGACCCAGCGGGAAAGGTAATGCTTTCTCCCTGGCTTCTGCTCTTTTCTGCTCTTGAAAACATGGAAAAAAATTAAGTGGCTTTCTTCTTGAAGTTAACATTTATGCTTCTTTCCAATATGTCAGGAAATTAAACTCTTTTAGGTGGGATCTCCTTCTCCCCCTCTCTGATGTACTCCTACAGGTGCTAAGGGACTGAGCCACAAAGTTCACAGGAGAAAAATCCAACTGGGGGAGAGACCACCTTGGGAACGCCACTCCCAAATGGGAAGCAGAGTACTTGTTCAGGGATTGCTCGTTTTCTTTTCTGTTCACAGCTGAGCAGAAGTAGCTTCGTTGGCAAGTGTGGCTTTTGCCCTCAACATTTGGTCCTTTGGGGATAGTTTCAGCCACCTGTGAGAAGTCACCTCACAGCTTAACCTCCCCATTCCTGAACTAACAAATACAGAGTTCTAGGACAAGGGAAGATGGTAATGTCAGTTTCCCATTCTTAGAGTGCCTTCAAATCCTTGTGTCTCAGAAAGCTCAGAGAGATTTGTGGAAATGGGGTTCCAGAGTCAGAACTCTGTTGAAAATGGCGGGAGTTCCCAGTCCCCAGACACCCAGGGCCAACTTCGGTACTGTGTGGCCCATACCGTACTCACAAGGGTTCCTGCACTTGGCTTATTGTTCTGCTATCTGTCTTGACAGTCTTAATCATTTGGAAGAGGGGGTCTGCCTTTCCCTTTGCATGGGGCCCTGAAATTCTGTAGTGGGTCCTGCAAGCACCCTCTTCTTCCAAATTTACTCCCCGCTGGTTTCCTTTGATGTGTCCCTCTCTGTATCCCCTCATTCCTTATGGCTTCATGGCCCCTTCTCACATTTCCTGCTCACTCTACTCTCTCATCATGAGTCACGCTAGATGCCCTTGCATTGCCTTAGTTCTCTGCTTAACAGAGAGAGGGAATGGAGAAGATCTTTGGGACGAACAAATTAAAAAAAATCACTGCCCTGACTGGTGTGGTTCAGTGGATTGAGTGCCATCCTGTGAACCCAAAGGTCTCTGATTCGATTCCCAGTCAGGGCACTGCCTGGGTTGATGGATAGGTCCCCCTGTTGGGAGTGTGCAAGAGGCAATCAATTGATGTATCTCTTGCACATCAATGTTTCTCTCCCTGTCTTTTTCCCTCCCTTCTCCCCCTAAAAAAAAATAAGTAAGTAAATAAATAAATAAATCACCATGTGAGTGAAGCAGAAAAAGCCTCATGGATGAGGCAGGGTTCTGTTTTGTATGTTTTCTTAAACTTTTAGTTTTTCCTTTTAACTAGTCTGAGGAAATAAATATGGCCTTGGGAATAGGGGGTTCCTATTAGTTCTGGATTTAATAACATTGCCTCCCCTTTTACCCAGGAGGAAGGGGATGCTGATCAAGGGTTGGTCATATTTATTTAGCTTGGGATGCAAGGGAGCAACCTTGTAGATTGATACGATTCCAATGCCTGAAGCCACTCTGAATATGTCAGAGGCCCAGGCAGTTCTGCCATCCTCTCTTCTTTGGGGAAGTCCAAGGTGGGAATGACTTTATGGAATAGATTTCCATCATCTAGTCTGTGGATCCAAGTAGCCACTACAAGCTCAGAAGGGATCTGGTGTGGGGAGGAGGTGTTGCTACCACCAAGTATTATTTCAGTAGAATCATGCATCTCTGTAAGTTGTACCCAGTGGGAAGGGAACTGTGAGAGTCAGAATAAGCAGCATCTTCACTTTCTTCTGCAAGCGGAGAGGAGTCAAGTGACTTGTCTAAAGTCACACAATTGGTGTCAGAGCTGGGCCCTTAACATGGGCCATGGATGATGCAGATCTAGACCTCTTTCCCTGTGGCTTTGCCCCATAAATAGTAAACCCACCCCAGTTCTAGGCATTGATCTCTAACAAAAGTAGCATGATTTTCAATGAACATATTTTCTTCCTCTTTCATCAATAATTGTATTTGATTTATTGCCCATTTATTTTAAAAATTTATTTATTTATTTTTAAGATCTTGCCACAGCTGTGCAGGATATAACAACAGCAACACCAAGACAAAAAGGCCTCCCCAAGAACGTTCCAAGGAAAAAAGAGATTATCGCTAAAGATAAAGCAGATGAAAGTTTGGAATATGCACCACTGAAAGGTCTGGAAGACACAAAGCTGGTACAGGTAGTAGTTAGAGAAGGAGGACAATCTAAGCTTGAACCAGGGGATAACAAAGCAAGTCCCGCCACCCCAGAAGGGGCTCCAGGGGACATGCCAGATGGAGGGCAGATAAGCAAAGCTTTTGGGGAGCTCTGCAGGACAGTCAAGGAGAGAGTGAGAAGCCTCAAGGAGCCCGAGCCCCCAGCTGACCTCTACGCCAAAGGGCGGTACGTGCTGGTCATTGGGGATGCCAATTATATGGACCCTGGATTCCGTTCCTTGTCTGTCCCGACCAGGTGTCAAGTAGTTGTTTCCACTGAGGATGACTCTCTGCATCATGACAGTGCTGTGGAGCCCTCTCCCGAGCAGCCCCAGCCCCCTCCAGAGAATGGACAGGGGAGTCCACAGGGGAGAGAAGATGGACACCCACCCAGTCAGCGTATTGCAGACAATGAGATAAACACTGAAGAAATGAAAGGTCCTGGGTTCAAGCATGTTGGCCAGAAGAAGGAGAATGGGCCCAGGAGGCCTTGTGTCGTGGTCATACCTGGTCCAGAGGGACCATCTGCACCTCCATTGCAAAGGCCTGGAGCCAGTCAGGGTAGAGCTGAGAGTCAGGGGGATAGGAGTGGCACCCTGCAAGAGAGAAGCCCTCCCAGGACTTTGGCATATGAGAAGGTGGAAATGATGGAATCCATTGAGAAGTTTTCAGCTGAGAACATTCAGACATATGAAGAAACCACTGTAATTCTGGAGACCATGACTGGAAAGACAAAGGCAAACAGGAAGGACCTGGGAGACCAGGGCTCTCACAATGCCTAGGCTCGTGGGCCACTGTAGGGGGAGTGCTGTGGTATTGTAGAACAGATGATCAAGAGTGATGTTTCCTGTTTGGATTAGACTGTAGTTTGCCTGTCTGGCATTGCCAATGAAGCCTTAATTAAAAAGTATTTCTTGCCTGCACATTATTTGTCTAATAATAGGGACCTTGGGAATATAGGTGGGTTAGCCACACTCAAGACAGGCTGCTCTGTTAAATGGCCATCAGGCCATCAAATCGTGCTCATTTAGGAAAGAGACGTGCCCTTCCTTGTGGCTCTCTGAGACTCATTAGAGACTCAGACAGTGCCTGGATTTCACACAGAAAATGCTAGCTGATGACAGTGGCTAATTTTCATTGCATTTCAAGCATGAGCACATGCTCATGTGGAGGAGTGTTTTGTTAGAGGTAAAATGATTAAAGGTATCTGTCTTAGTTTGGGTTTCCTGAGAAGCTGATCCTGAAGCAAGGCTTTAAATATAGTTTCTTAGGGATGTGATCTCAGGAAGCACTCGTACAGCAGTGGAGAGGGAGGCAGGGACAGCAGGCAGCCAATAAGAGGTGTGCTACCTGATCAGTTAGCACTGTGGGCAGCTGGAGCTCAGTTCCTCTTGAGGGACTCAGGGAGATGAAGCAGAACATGTGCCACAGAATTATCCTGTCTGAGGGGTGAGGGAGCGGGGTTTTCATCCATCAGCTTCTGTTAGCCTGTGGGGAAGGCTGCTCCCAGAGGGTTAACATGCAAATACATGGAAATGGCAAAGGTCTTGGGGATATAAACGGGGTATCAATGCCATTTGCCATAGCATATGTTCCAAATGTCTTTTTATTTGACTTCAGATTTTTCAGCAATTACAATCCTAGGTCAGATTTCAAAAAGCAAAATTGAATGTCACCTCATAGCTTCTTATTTAGGAGTTAATTCATTCAACAAGCATTTATTGAACATGTATTATGTGCCAGACAATGTGCTATGCTGGTAAGGGGAGACTTGCAGATTTATTAATAATTACCACAATATAGTAAGTTGTGATTAACTGTGTGTGCATTATCTGTGTACACACGTACACCCACATGCACACGAGTACCTGCTGTGCTACATCTGAGGAAATAGAAATTACTTTAAACCACAATCTTTATAGAAATGTTTATGTTGCCTTTAGATATCTATTTGTCTACCAGCAGTCCAAAAGTCACTTTTTATTTACACTGATTAAGGAAGTACTCCTTCCCTGTGTAAGGGCTCCAAAATACATTAAGGGCACTTGAGTAAATGTGCTTAGATGGATTAGTGCATCTGCCAAGACAACTACCTATTTTTAGAGGAAAACTGAAGGAGTTGTAAGTTACATTCTCTTATTTCTTTGTTGCGGATAATAGAGAGAATATTAAATGGAGTCACCTTTCCTTTCTATTTAGAGCTTTAAAAAATCTTTTCTGAATTTATTTGAGGTTTTGATTTTAAGAAAGAAATATGCTTTTGTTCTTTTTATAAAGATGAATGGAAAACATACTCCATTGCAAAATTTAAAAATATAATTTAAAAGCTTAAGAGAGAATGATGAAAACTATTAGCTGGAATTCAGAATGTACTAGGAATTTGTAAATATATAGTATATATACACACATATATATATGTGTGTGTGTGTATATAATATTTAGCATAAGCCACTGCAAACCTTTTTGTTTTCCCCATGAGGTATTTTTATTTTTTAGACTATGTATTTAGTTAATATTTTTATTTAAAAACTCAGGGTATCTTTTTAGAAAGAAAGATCATTTTTATATTTAATCATCAATAATGAATTGATGGCCTGTTCTGTGTCAGGCATGATTTTGGACACTGGGGAGACAGCAGTGAGCAATGAGGTGTGGTTCTGCCCTCACAGACTTGACATTCTGATGGAAGAAAGCAGATGACTGAGTAAGAGAAGATTAGAGACAATACTATAAAGGACATCAACAGGGTGATGTGTAAGAGTGACTTTGGGTTGGGTGGTCTGGGGAAGACTACATTGATGAGGTGACATGTGACCTGAATTACAAGATGGGCTAGTTGTGTGTGGATCCAAGGGAAGAGCATTTCAGGCAGAGGAAACTGCAAGTGCAAATGCCCTGGGGCAGGAATGAATTTAGCCTTTTCAAAGAGGGAGAATAAAGGGGATTGTAAGAGGACAATGGAAGGAGGTGAGGTCATGGAAGGAGTTAGGGACCAGGTAAACACTCTGTTTTGGCAGGCTCACTTCCACCTGAAAGCCAGACTCTCAGGGTGAAATGTGGGGCTGCCTGCAGTGGATACGTTGGAGTCTAGTTGAGTTCTTTGTCCAACCCGGAGCTCTAGCTGCCACTTTTCCTGATGGGTTGTTTTCCCCCAGAGAACTGCAGTGGGTTCATTTCCTGGCCATTTCCTCTCTCTGAAGTCTCTGAAAACAAGCACTTTAGTTTCATTAAAAAGTATTTCTTGTTAGGAAATATAGGGACTCAGGGCTAGCCTGCCAAAATCATTGATGACAGGAGAATGCTGAGCTTTGTCCAGCCCCAAGGTAGCTGAAGTGTGAGTGCATGGATGCCTGGTCCTAACTGTTGTACCAGAGGTCCCTGGCATCCTCTTTCTGACTCAGCCTCAAACCCAGTACAGATGTTCTCCCGAAGCCGCCTTCCCATGGAGAAGCTGTGTGCCAGCTCTCCAGCCCTCCCATTCTCCAGTGTTCTAGTTAATAACAAGTAACTGCTGTCATATCAGCTGCCCTGAGTGCTGACCCCCCAGGTCCCCTAACTCTTACTGTTCTGGTTCTTGTTTAGGCGCCCAGGGTCTCCAAGCCCACCTTTCTTTATGTTGGTGCTGGGCTGGAATCTGCTAGCTCTTTCGTGCTTTGCCAGCATCTTCCTCGTAGGGGAGAGTGAAGGGCTAGAGGAGGGAGAAGGGACCTGTCCCCATTGCCACAGCAGTACCTCTTCACCCAGCAGCGGTTACACTTCCTATAACAGCAGCTGGATCCATTTTTCAGTTTTTCTAACATTTGCAGAACCAACCTCATAATCATCTCCTTAGACACTCCTGCACCAGCCAGTTGATGCCCCTCCACAGAGGTCTGGGTCTTTCAGGGGCTGCCATGTGTGCTCCCTCTCCACCCATGGGCATGAACGGTGAGTTGGGATGTGGTGCCCCCACCCCAAGACCCCAGGATGATCCCAGCAAGCCCCTGACTCCCGCCTGCTCACATTAGATTGCTTGGTCCTTGTGATGTTTTAGTTCCCTTTTGCCATTCTAATTAAGTAGGTAGTACTTCTTTAAAGTACTCAGTTTATGGTGCTTTATATTTAATTCTTTCTGTTAACATCACTGCTGGGATTTCTGTCTCCTGACTGGTGAAGGGAGGGGCATGACACAGGGAGTATTAACCTGCTGCCTTTGCTGTGGGCACCTGGGGTTCTGTCCTGAAGAGACCTGGTAGAGCACCTTCAAATGGTCTCAACAGGAGGTGAGGAAGCTGAGACCTTTCTGCACCAGCTCCAGGTGAAGTGGTCCTGGGGTGTTGATCCCTTGGCACTTCTTCTTGTAGCACACCAGGTCTGGTGCATCTCTGCAGCCAGAGAACACCCCGGCAGAGAGAGAGAGAGAAAGAGAGAGAGAGAGAGAGAGAGAGAGAGAGCGCGCGCGCGAGAGCGCACCTTGGCATGTACAAAACTGTCTACAGGTAATCTCTGGGGTGGGCCAAGGAGATACTGGGGTGGCCAAAAAGTTTGTTTGTTTTCCCTGTAAGATGGCTCTAGTAGCACTTAGTTATCTTAAACTTCATTCAAAACTATTTTGTTAGTTTGCATTGTGACAGCTGTCATATCAGCGTGCATTAAAAAAATCAAAATTGTTGAATTTTTGTGTAGCCATTTTAATATTGAACATGGAAGAAAACATGCAACATTTTTGGCATATTATGCTTTATTATTTCAAGAAAGGTAAAAATGCACGTGAAACACAAAAGAAAGAGATTTGTGCAGTGTACAGAGAAGGCTCCGTGACTGACCAAAAGTGTAAAAAGTGGTTTGCAAAGTTTTGTGCTGGAGATTTCTCACTGGATTATGCTGCATGGTTGGGTAGACCAGTTGAAGTTGATAGTGATCAAATTGAGACATTATTCAAGAACAATCAATGCTCTACCATGCAGGAGATAGCCAGCATACTCAAAATACCCAAATCAATAAAGTTATTGGTGAAAATGAAAAAAGTGTCTTTTATTTTATGGAAAAACCTAAACAGCCCTAGCTGGTGTGGCTCAGTGGATTGAGCATGGGCCTGTGAACCAAAGGGTTGCTGGTTTGATTCCCAGTCTGGGCACATGCCTGCATTGCAGGCCAGGTCCCCAGTGGGGGATGTGTGAGAGGCAACCACACATTGATGTTTCTCTCCCTGTCTTTGTCTCTCCCTTCTCCGTTATATTAAAATAAGTAAATAAAATCTTAAAAAAAAAAACACTAAACAGACTCTTTTGGCCAACCCAGTAGGTATAGGGCAGAAGTTGGCAAACGTTTTGTATAAAGGGCCCCATTATAGGCTGTACAGTGTCTGTTATAACTACTCTACTCGGCCATTGTAGCATGGAAACAGCCACAGACAATAAAAAAAAAATAGGCATGATTGTTTCCAATAACACTAATTCCCAAAACAGGCAGCATGCCAGATTGGGTCCCTGGGCAGTAGTTTACTGATCCCTGATGTAGGGTGTGCACCAACAGGGTCTAATGAAAAATTCAATTTACTTAACAGAAGACACTTCTCACCTGGCATCTCTTCCTTCACCATTCATGTTGGAAAGTTCCACTGAGGTTTCTCCTTGCCTTGAAGCTTATAAGGATCTTTAAACCACCATTATAATCAAGTTTATCTTAAAATTGTTCTATCATAGCTTTGCAGCTGGGATGTTGCTGGGAAATCAAGTCACCTTAAACTCACATAGTATTTGGCACATTGATGATGAAGGACACCATTCAGGTGCCTAGATTAGTACAAATGCTTGACTCCAATTTCTCATACTTGGATAAAAGCAAATAGATGTCACAAAAACTTAAGTTTGATTCAAAGAAATAGGGTTTTTGAGATTTTTGAAATGAGAAGTATATTCTCCCAAGAGATAGACCCTTGGTCAATAACTTCACTGTGCTGGTACACTCACCAGTCAGAAGACCCCTCACCTACATGTTTGTGTCCTTATGACCAGGAGCTTACCAGATGGCTTATCTGTCACCTATGATTGGTTAGTGGCTCCAGGACATGTGGCCAAAAAAGAAAGAAAAATAGGTTGTAGCCTCTGCCCTCTATCCAGCTTGGAGTAGCCTATGGTGTGTCCCCTTGGGTGCAGAGGGACAACTTTGAAGGCTCTATATGATGGGCCACTCCACCCTGAAGTGCTAAGAGTGGGTTGGCCTGAATCAGTGATTCTTAACATTAGACCTAAGGAATTCCCAGCCTTATTTGGCTGTTCTGGCTTCTAAAACTCTGTGGGCTGAGATTTCTAATTGCCCCCACCCTACCCCAAACTATGCAAGACTGAACATTATGAATTTAGCAAGACAGAGTCTTCATCTCTTTGGGCTGAGTGCATTTCCTGCGGTCAGTTCTTTCTGTGCCCAGGTTCACAGTGAGTCTCTTCTAAGCTTTAAGAGAAAAATGAAACTGGCAGGCTAGCTTGGAAAATTTGTCTCAGATCAGAACTTGATTCCTTGTCCCTTGTAAATCCCAAACCAAATTCAATCAGAGTTTTTTGAACCCAAGGGAAGAAACTTTTAGCAACAAAATGCACAAGACTCTAGTTGAAGAACTCAAGTATTGATTAATTTGCAATGCAAAGAGGGGGTCATCTTTCCTAGAAATGCAGGTGCTGGTTACCCCCTCTCCTGGTGTTAATGTCCTCAGGAGACCAAATAAAGCACCAGGAGGCTGTGGGTAGGCATGGAAGTAAACCATTAGCAGCAGAAAAGTGTTTCAAGGCACTTGTCTGGGAATGGCTTCCCCAGTGTATTGGGCTCTGTCCTCAATAGACTTCAACTCTTCAGTGATTGGAATTCCCCTTTTATACCAGCCTCTGTGTTTCCCTATGCTGAACACCACTACATACTGTCTGCCAACTCTCATCTTGGACTTTTCATTTTTGTAAACTTCCACCAGCTGAATGCAGGCTCTACCTAGCATTCTTTCTGTTGACTCATTCCTTTTCTGCAGACAGAGAACCACCCAGTTGGCTACAACCAAATCACATTCACTGGCCCAGGACACATTCTGTGCTGATGTTATTCAAACTCCAGGAGTTTTTAGAACCTCTTATTCTCTCCCAAAACCTCTGTTCCTACTTTTGGATTTTCGATTTTTAGAAATTCCTATCAAATTAAGTTATTTGTGTCCAAGAACTTACTCTGGCTGTGAGGGTACCTGTTTCCCTAATCCACCATTTCTCTCTCTAAATATAAAATGCCTGACTATGTTTCCTAAATGTTTTGTAGTGTGTGGTTTTCATGTGATTACTTTAGCTAATGAAGGCATTGATCACATAAACACCACTGTTATTAATTTATAAGTTACAGTAACAATGACATATAGTAGTAACTCTATAAGAATTATATTTTTTAAACTTAGTATTTTGGAAATCAATCTTTGAACTTAAGTATTGAAAAGCAGTGTCTCAATTTGTCACAAGATCAGACTTTGGACCTTACACCTTTCAATATGTGTTTTTAGTTATAGGCTCTCTTAAGATTTTACTAATTTAGTATGACAAGTATTGTATCATAAGATACATTTGAAAAGTTTTTTACAATGAAATATGGTAAATATATTAATATTTTATTAATAACGATTAAGATTTGCTTGGCTAGCATGGGATACAGCTAGTTTATAATATTGTTTACAGTACCTTCCATGAAGAGAGGTCGCCATGTAAATCAATACTTAAGAATATGTCTTAAGGGCATGTCAAGCTCTTTCTGTGGGAGAGACTTGAATGCTTATTAAACATTCTGTTAGTTGTCCTATGTTTCCCAGTTGCTTAAATTTAGGCAAGGATATTGACCAGTACTGGTCAATGCTCTGATGGTCAAGTGATGTGTGTCTCCTTCAAGCTGAACATAAAAAAGGTAGGTAAGAGTCCTCCATGAGTTCCACATGGATTGTAGCTACCTTGTGTTATGATTACAAACCATAAGACTGAAGGTTGAAGCAGGATTTCCCTGAGTGGCTGCATTGAGTCTGTGGCCTTGGAGAGTCATCTGAACCCTCAGTGGGATTTGCGTGAATAAAAATTAAACCCTTTTTGTGATAAACCACTGAGATTCTGGGGCTGTTTTGTTACTACAGTATAACTTAGTTTGGCCTGAAGAGTATATTTTATAATAGTGTTTCTAAAAGATTTTGACCATGACCCTTGACCCATAATGAGAAATGTATTTTACATTGTGAACCAATTCACATACTTAGACATGCACACACACACATATCCCTGAAAAGTATATTTCAGGAAACAATGCTTATTATTCTATTCTATTCTATTCTATTTCACAGTGGTGGTCTTGCCACCACTAAATTTATTTTATTTTACAATCAAAGTTGTAACCTGAATTTTAAAAATGCTGCTGTAGGTGTATGATTTATTCGCTAATGACAAATCTTATATATGTATATATGCACACATATTTATGAAAGCAGGCTTTTTAGATCTCTCCTTGGCTACTTTTTATTATCAGCTCCTAGAATGGATGGTAATACTTTTACATAATACATATCACATCCCACATAATTTCTGGAAGGTAATGTTTTATTGTTTTCTCCTAATTTACATGTCTTCTAAAATTTATAAAATACTTTCATAGGGAGTAACAATGTTAATCTGATTAATCATTATTTACTTATTTTCATTTTTTAAAATAAATGACTATAAATATCTCTTGCATTAGGATCAGGGATATCATAAAAACCTCACTAGCTAGACATATTCTAGGGTTAATACTAGTGCAAAAATGTAATAGAGGCCAAATATTTTTATATAGTACTATATGTATTTTTATATACTGTAATCTCATATCAAAACTTGCCATTTCTATTAAGAAGCTGATAAGTTACTCTCTAATTTCATAAATTATACCACAACTGTGAAAATATGGACAACTATTTTATATTTTTGCTGCTATATAAGACATTTAATGTTTATACAGAGAGCTGCAAAATTACAGAGGTGATGCAATGGGAATCGATGCACATTTTCACCTGAATTTCCACTGGCCTTTTTCTTCAGCCAGAATCATCTGATATTTTCTGAATATTCTTTTAAAGATGAATATGGTGTCTGTTTCTTCAATAAATACACATACACACATTTTAGATATATGTGTGTATATACATTTATACAAGTGTATATATACACATATATACACACATATATACATGTATATAGTTACATGTGTGTATATGTATTTCTGTGTGCACTTATATACACCTGCACACATAATGTCCTTTGGTTTATTTTCAGATTGTAAGTGTGAAATGAATTTTTGATGATTTCCATATTTTTTCTTTAAATTTAAACTGGTTTAAAAAGACCTTCACAACATGTAATAAATTTCTTTTAAAATAAATATTATTACATTTTAAAGCATTATATAGAGAAGGTCATTGGCATTAGAGAAGACAGAAATTCATGCCAACTTGCAGGGGGAGGAAAGAAAATGGGTTTTTTAGACTTCTCTCTTAAAGTCACAACTTTCAGGTAATGGAAGCTAGTGCTCTGGTGTTGCTGGCTTTGAGGAAGGGAACTCCCGGGGTTAGCTATGTGCTCCCAGGGGAAGGGAGAAATGTAGCCAGAAGTGGTTGATCAGTTCTTTGGAATGGGTGGGCACTGGGTTTGGAGATGAGGAGACAGTCCTTGATTAGGAAAACAAAGTGTCAGTAGGTCAGAAAGCATTTCTTTGATAAAGAAATGGTGTGGTGTCTTTTGGGGTTGACAGAGGAAAGGAATGTATCAACTTTAGATTACCTGTTAAACACCCTCATGGATTGATTGGTTGCCAAGATGGTAACTGTGCTTTCCCCATTGAGGGCTTCTCTTGCTTCCTTCAGGCCTCACATTACCAGGGAATGAGTTGGCACCCCACTTTGGCAGAAAAAGCTCCATACAAATGAAGGTCCATGTGAAGACAGTTCACATCTTCAGGCATGCCCCCTTCACCTTCCACACACCTGTGCCTGAACAGAGGCCATTTCCCAAACACATAACAGAAATCACAACATGAAGGAGTAAGATATTGCCCTCCAATCATGTGTTTTGGAAATCAAAGCCCAAGTTCATGTGTGAAAAACTGTCAAAAATACTCCCTAGGCCTCTTGCTTATATCAGATTAAGAAGTCCCAAAAAGACTTAGGAAAAGGAACATTCTTGGGTTAAAAACTACTATGATGTGTTGCCAGATCTGCCCTGCCTTTTTTTTTTTTTTTGGATAGATATGTGGGAAACTCTGGAAAATTGGGGCTGAGATGGACTGTATACAGACTAAGAGTAACTTGGGCTCCTCTAGAATATTCTACCGTAACTCAGAGCAGTAGCTGGTGAAAAGACAGCCAAGCTACATAGGTTTTATATTTGCCATGCTGTCTGAGTAGGATAAGTTATGATGCTGGCATTGGTGGTAGATTTCCAATGCTCATGCTTTTTGACTCTTCCCTCTCTGGTAATTAGGGCTCTCATGGATGGCATCTTTTGAATCACACCACCTTCATCTACACCACTGAAGAAATCTTGCTAAGTTTAAAACACCTTTCCCCAAGACATTTACAACATCTCTCCTGCTTTAAGAGATTCAGAGCTCACCCTTGGTAACAATCTTTGATTTTTCTTTTTATGTAACAGGTTTGCTGAGACCATGAATAAACCATCTGTAGCTTTTTCTTGGAGTTACCATTTGTACCTTTTTAAATGCATTCTCTTCTCTTCTCAGATATGAAAAAATAGAGGGGAAAGTTGTCCCAGTTTTGTTTGCAGGATAACACCTATTTAAATGACACAAATAAAGAACCTAGAGTCACAAATAGAACATAGGTGTTGGTGGGAACACTATATTTGGGGCATAGAATAAAAAAGATTCCTTCCATTGTAATGGAAATAATCATTGACAGTGAGCGAAGCTTCAGATCAAGAAGTTGGAATTGCTTGTGTGGGGGTGATAGTTGCTAGGTGCCTGACAGAGTATGGAGCGAGGGCAGAGGCAGAGATGGGGGAGAGAGGGAGACGTTGGAGCCAGGGTACAACACTAGTTCTTGTGCAGGATGCTTTTCAGGCTTCGCTCCACAGCTTCATCCAGCTCTTCCTCCAGCTCCTCCTTCTTAGACATGGCCAACTTAGACTGGTAATCCCTCACTACCTGGTCAATGTAAGGGGCGCTTTGTGTGCCATGCAACATCAGTGTCCACTCCTTCAACACCCCCTTTTGGGGTGTGCTCCCAACAAACCCCAGCTCCAGGGTCCAGGTTCCACGGGCATCTTCACCCCAAGTATGGGTGGTCATGAAAGGCCACTTGTCAAAGCCCACCTTGGAGTCATCATCCCTTGGACGCCGACTCAGCAAAATGGACTTGGTACCCATAGGGGAAGTCATGTTGATGTTCAGATCTCCTCTCCTGGTTGCATTGACAGTGATGACAGCTTGGACGTGTTCAAGGTAGCGGACGAAATTTTCCTTCCCTTCACAGGCATCAGTGGTGAGGGTCAGCACCAGCTTGCCAGTGGATGGTATTTTCCTGAGGGCAAAGTGATAAGGAGATATGGTAAGGAATGGGCACATTACATGAGGGGTTTCTGAAGACAGCTTCAGGCAGCAGAAAGAACAAGGGCTTTGAGATTAATCAGATAGACCTGGGTTAATTCCTACCCAAGCTGTATGAAGGTGAGCAAGTTATTTATTTTCTCTGAACTTTCAGAATGTAGCAGGTGCTGTTGATGCCCCTCCCATATATCCTAAGTTACCTCTGAGTTGCCCTACAGCTCCAGCTTCTGTTTATCCTGACTACTTACCTCAGGTATCAGCATCTCCTAACTTCCCTTCTGTAGCTTTTCCCTGTTCCACGGCAGTTTGCTTAACCTTTGTGCAGGGCAACTCAAAAGTGTCAGGGATTTAGCTCCTCGGGGACAATCCTCTACCAATGACTGACAGAAGGTGATGGATAACTATATCCTAGCTTCTCTCTTCTTCAGTGGGATAACTCAGTATCCCCGGTGAGACTGAGTCTAGCTGCCCACAGTGGGAACTTGCTCACCAGTGTACTCTTTATTAGCTTTTATTTCTCCCCCTTGTATCACATCTCCACTTCCCCACTTGTGTTTCTTGGGATCATCTCTCAAAAACTCGTTAGCATCAAGCAGGATACAAAATTAATATCTAGAAGTCAGTTGCATTTTATATGCCAATAATGAACTATCAGAAAGGGAAATTAAAAAAAACAATCCCAGGAGAATCAAGATGGCAGAGGAGTGAGTGGAAGTCACACTGACCTCTGCCCAGGACCAACCTGGAATTACAACTAAGCTGGGGAGAAATCACCTGGAACAAACAACTGAACAATGGTGAGAGAGGAGCCTTGTAACCTTGGAGACAGAAGAATCGGCTTCAGTGCAACCTAACTGGTAAGGAGTGAGGTGCAGACCTGAGAAGGCGGGCGGGGAGCCCATGGCGGCAGCACCAGAAGGATATTGAAACAGCCAGTTGGATCCTCCTGAGAACAGCGGGGTCTAAACCAAAAGTGGGGATCTCTAGCCAACAGCACCAGAGCCCAAAAGGTACACAGAAAACAGCCAGCTGCAAAAAGCGGCAGGGTTGCTCCAGGCGGCTGGAGACGCAAAGAACTGTTTAAAGGGCCAACGCATAAATTTTTATTTGCAGCCACTTACTCTGGTCTCCGGCAAAGGCAGGGGAGAGTGGACTAGAGATGCCTGAGGGGAGACTGGGGAAGGAGGCTTTGGGGAGAGAACTGAGGGAATGGCTGGCAGGATCTTGGTGCTGCCTCCTCCCCCATGCGGCAGCTGCCATCTTGCTCAGGTGGAGACCACTCCCCCTGAGCAGCACCAGTGTCAAAGGACCCAACAGCCCTGCCCTGTGCTGTCTAAGCTGCCTGCTGATGCAGAGTGGCAGCCACAGACAGCAGATCTCTGGCTAAAGGGGGTGCAGAAATGTCTGGCGACACTTGAGGAGAGACTGGGGACGGAGGCTTTGGGGAGAGAACAGAGAGAGTAGCCCACGGGATCCCAGTGCGGACTTCTCCTTCATACGGCAGTAGTGTGAGTGGACCCAATAACCCTGCCCCCCGGAGGGACTCCACCCTGCCCCGAGCTGTCTAAGGAGGCCTGCTGACTGCCGAGTGAATAAATTAACAGATGAAGGAGACAGCCACAGACAGTAGATTACTGGAAGTCTTGAACAGACTGCCTAAGGTCAGACAGGGTCAACATCTGACATCAGTCAGAGGCAGATCCAGAAAGTAAAAACAGCGGTCTCCAACCATAGAAGTTCACACCACAAAGTCAGGAGATAAAGACAGATCAACTTAAGAATCAGAAGCAAAAGAGAAGAGTCTCACAAATAATGGGAAGACAAAGAAATATGCCCCACTCGAGGAGAAAGGAGGAATCCCCAGAAAGAGAACTAAGTGAAATAGAGGCAAGTAAACTATCAGATATTGAGTTCCAAACAATGGTTCTAAGGAAGCTCAATGAGCTCAGGGAGCTCAGAGAGCATTACCAAAAACTACAGGGAAACGATGAGGAACTTACTGCAAACTCTATCAGCATGAAAAAGGACATAGAAACTATAAAGAAAAGACAAGAGGAAATGAAGAATACAATTTCTGAATTGAAGAACACAGCAGAAAGAATCCAAAGCAGGCTAGATGAAGCTGAGGACCAAATCAGCGAGCTGGAGGATAAGGTAGAAAAGAGCTCCCAGAAAGAGCAAGAAAATGAAAAAAGACTCAAAAAGAATGAAGATGCATTTAGAGAAATGCAGAAAATCCTGAAACGTAATAATATCTGTATAATAGGGATACCAGAAGGAGAAGAAGAGGAGCAAGGGATAGAGAACCTATTTGAAAAAGTAATGATGAAAAACTTCCCCAATTGGAGGAGAGAAAAAGTCACACAAGTCCAGGAAGCACAGAGGTCCCATTCAGGAGAAACTGAGTGAGGCCCACTCCAAGACACATCATCATTAAAATGGCAAATATTAAAGACAGAGAATCCTAAAGACAGCAAGGGAGAAACAGGTAGTAACATGCAAGGGAGCCCCGATACAACATGCAGCGGACTTTTCAACAGAAAACACTACAAGCCAGAAGAGAATGGCAAGAAATATTCCAAGTAATGAAAAGCAAAGGCCTGCAGCCAAGACTGCTCTACCCAGCAAGCCTCTCAATTAAAATGGAAGGCAACATAAGGAGTGTCCCAGAGAAAAGAAGGCTAAAAGACTACACCTCCACCAAACCAGCAGTGCAAAATATGCTAAAGGGATGGCTTTAAGATGAAGAAAAAGTTTCTATGAATACCCAGTTCCTTTCAGAGTTGCCAATACTTAATATTACCAATATTTTTAATACTCACTAATCTGATTGTGACAATGATGTTATTTTAATTGTTCCTGTATTATTTGTTGAAACTAAACGTGTTTCAGTATATTTCTTACCTATTTCTATTATTTAAAAAAAAAGCTTAAAATGACTTTTTGGTATTCATTATCCATTTATTGATTAAAGGTTTGTAGAACTTTTTTCCCTAAAAAACCAAAAAATCAAAAACCTATTAACCATGTTTTAGATGTGTTGCAAATACTTTTCTATTCTATTCCTTTCCTTTAAATTTTTTATATGTATATTACTATATAGTTAAATGTTTAATATAGTCATATTGTCAATATTTATAACTTCTGGATTTGAATATTTTACTTCAGGTCATGAAAAATATTAGTTCTATTTTCTTCTAAAACTCATTAGATTATACATATTGATTTTTAACTCACCTGAATATTTCTTGAATAATGTGTGAAATAGGGCTCTACATCTGTTTTATTTCAAGTAATAGTGGTCCATGCACATTATTTGTTGAATAAGCCTTATTTTACCCATTGATTTGAAATATCAACTTAATCATATATTATATTGTTAGACAGATATATGCATTTATCTCTAGAATTCTCATTATATTTCATTGATCTACTTGATTATTTCTGTGCTGGTGTCATGTTGGTTTAATTGCTGAGACTTTATAATGGTTTTAAACTTTTTAAATATTTTATAATTAACTTTGACATCTAAAAAATAAATAAAATCAATCTGCATTTAAGGAAGAAAGAAAGAGAGAGACAAAACTCCTACCTTTTGCGACAACATGGATGGAACTGGAGAATATTAAGCTAAGTGAAATAAGCCAGTTGATGAAAGACAAGTACCATATGATCTCACCTATAAGTGGACTCTATTCAACAAAATAAACTAATGAACAAAATAAACCACAGGCATGGAAGCATGGAGCAGACTGAAAGTGACCAGAGGGGAGGGGGAAAGAGGACAATGGTGGAAAGAAGGAGAAGGGACTAGACAAAGAACATGTATGAATGAGCCATGGACTTGGACAACAGAGTGGGAATTGACTGTGGGAGTGGAGGATCAGGGTAGGATGGGTGGAGGGGGGTAAAGTGGGAAAATTGAGACAACTGTAATAGAATGAACATGATATATATATATATATATATATATATATATATATATATATATATATATACACACATACACACACACACACACACACATATATATATATATATAAATCCCATTCACGATTGCCTCAAAAAGAATAAAATACCCAGGAATAAATTTAACCAAAGATGTAAAAGATCTGTACTATGAAAATTATAACACACTGAAGAAAAAAATTGAAGAAGATACAAATAAGTAGACATACATACTGTGTTAATGGGTAGGGAGAATTAACATCATTAAAATGTCCATATTACCTAAAATGAGCTATAGATACAATGCAATTCCCATCAAGATATCAATTACATATTTCACAGAACTAGAAGAAATGTTTTAAAAATTTACATGGAACCACAAAAGCCCAAATAGCAACAGTGATCTTGAGAAAGAAGAAAAGTTGTAGGAATCTCATTGCCTGATAGCAAATGATAGTAATCAAAACAGTGTGGTACTGGCATAAAAACAGACACTTAGATCAATGGTACAGAATAGAGAGACCATAAGTAAACCCATGTTTTTATAGTCAATTAATATTTGACAGAGGAAGCAAATACATAATATGGGCTAAAGACACTTTATTCAATAAATGGTCTTGGGAAAAACTGGAGAGATAATGCAGAAAAATGAAACTAGACCACCTTCTTATGCTACACACAAGAATAAATTCAAAATGGATTAAAGACTTACATGTTAGACCTGAAACCATAAAAATCCTAGAAGAAAATATAGGCCATAAAATCTTGGACAATGTAGCAATATTTTATCTGATATATCTCCACAGGCAAGGGAAACAGGAGAAAATAAATGGGACTATATCAAATGAAAAAGTTTTTGTACGGCAAAGGAAACTATCACAAAATAAAAAGACAACCCACTGAATGGGAGAACATATTCACCAATACAGCTGGTAAGGGGTTAATATCCAAAATTTATAAAGAACTTAAATAACTCAACACCAAAGAAGCAAAGCCAATTAAAAAAAATGGGCAAAGGACCTGAAT